CCCCCCCCACTGCCCAGGAACCCCAAGACCCACAACGTGTATTGAGTGGGAAGTGCGAGCCCAGATGACGGCAGGCTGTTGAAGAACAACCCCGATGTCACCGCCGGGGGTGTTTTCAGACCTTGGATGGTTGGGCTTTGCGTTTGGCATGGCATATGACTGGCATCATTAGCATCTACAGATATGCTTGACCTTGCCTTTTGGCAAATGAACGATGTTGATCGTACAAGGATGGGAACACCCTTCCGTAGGACCTTCCGTAGCTCGCCGCAGAGCGTGGTGAAAAAGGAAGCTCGGGGAGTGTTTGGAGGCAGGGTGACGGAAGTGCAAGAGGAAGGAGGAGCCCTGCCAGAGGCGATGTGTTCAAAGTGAACACCAGCATTTGCGTCTACTGCATCATTCCACCTTTGGTCAGTGAGTTGCAATAATAAGGAGGTTTCCCTAGAATGAAATGTTCCACTGATGTGTATATGATGGTATAATATGGTATAGGCGTAGATGAATTGATAGCACTGACCATACCCAGACCATCCACGTATGGAATAGTTACATGATGTTACATGCATGTTTCCCATTTATATCCGTTATATCCATTTATGATCCGATGTATTTTCTGCATGGATGGTTTGGGATAGACTCTTATTCGGGCTATCTTGGATGTCGAAGACTAATGGCGGCCGACTCGGACGGCACATGGAGACTATGGGCATTTCCCCAGCGAGTTGTATCCCAGACCCATGTATGATCTCAGCAAGTCGAACACTTATGTTTAAATCAGACTCTCAAAACTTAAAAGCCACGGACTCCCGTGCATAATTTCTGGAACATATTGTATAGCATACAGTATATACCTACATTTATGTGACCCCAGGTCAACCACTCCAACTGATTTGCCTACATGCCACTGCCAGACAGGTCGTCTTTGGGAAACATCGGCCAGGGGTGTCTGGAGAAACATCGGTTTTTTCGTTGGGAAAACCTGCCGCTCCTCAAGGCCAGGGGTGAAAAGAGGAACCTCTCATGAGAGGAATTGTTGAATTGAATGAGCCCACCCAGATGGATACACTCAGATCTGCTTCATGATGTTTCGTTTTTTGTGTTCTTTTCGATCGCCTGAGGGGAGAGATCGACCAGCTGGTTGCTTCGCCCATGTTCCATGAACTTTCGCCGGTCGATGGTTTGGGGCCGCCCTCCTTAAACGGACCACTTCCGGCGTTCCATGACTTTCGACTGTCAGAGCCCTGGCCTTCAGACTCCCGAACATGGAGCTGTGGTGAGTGGCTGCAGGCTGAATCCAGCATATAAAAAACCAGCTGCAGTTGCTTTGCATTTGTTGGGGGGGCCATTTTCATGGAGAGAGAGACCATCGTTTTGAGAAAGGCTTTCCGCGTGTCGCACCCTCCCGACCTCCCGTTGCTGAAACAGAGCCCCCCTACCTGGACTCAACGGCCATGGCGAGCTCCAATGGCCTCCAATGCCGGAGGGTTGGACGCAGAAGTGGGGGAATCCTTCCTGGGATCCAGTCGCAGCTTTTCAGGTGCCTACACCTGCGGTGGTGGTGGTGTTGCTCCCCGAAAGCGTTGAAGCCTATTCTGTTTAGCCTTCCCCAGCTCCAAGCACCCCCAAACGCCTCCCAACCTGCAGGAACCGTGGAACCGGGACCAGAGCCTCGTGCTTCGTTCCACCGAGTCATCAACCCGGTCGACGCCACGCTTCGTTGACGTCACCGGTCGCCGGTCACCGAAGAGTACGACAACGGTTGAGAGGTTGAGAGACCATGTACCAGCAGTCACAAGACGGGGTGCGATCCATGGAGGTTAGGGGTGCCTATTATCCACTCACTGGATGGGATTAAACACCACCCCGACATGTGCCTATATACCTAGAACCTGATTGACCCCTGTTTTGGCTCATGGTCTTTTCCTATCAAAACAGAGGTCATGTTTGGGTTCTAGGTATATATAGGACCCTGTAGTGGTACATATGGCATGGGCGACAAAAAGGGCTGTGAAAACCTCCCTTGGCGATATGGACCCCAGAATTGATCGTTCAGAGTGAATTACCCTCGTTGTGGAAAGTAACCTTCCAACGAGCCCAGGTGGAACCAGCTCCATGGAATGTGAGGCAGAGTGTACTTCTATTTCCCATGCCAGACCATGTGTGTAACTATTCCATACCCAGACCATCCATGTCAATGTATGATCATGGAAAAATGGAACACATGCCTTAGCTTTCTGCGGTGTAGCCATAGATTTGGGCCGGTCTCGCCTGGCCCTCGGGCCTGGCCGGTCTCGCTCGGCCTGTCTCTGCCATCCGACTCTTCGACCCGACGAGGTGCTGTGACTGATGCATACCGTGTGACACGCACCTGGTGGAGGGAAAGTACCGAGCCTCGGAGCGATCCCCCCCGGGGCGACCGGGGAGCTTGCGAGGGTGGGGACAGACCGGTGAGCGACTCGCGACCGGTGCCGGCTTGATTGAGGAGAACGGGAGTTGGAATGAGGTCAACAGAGGTCAGCCTTTCTTTTTGGAACAGAAGGCTAAAGACTATAGTTAGGGACCTATAGGGTATGTATACCTTCAGGCCGCGTACACCAAAGATGGTGATGTGGCCTCAGAGATGTTCATCTCCATTGCGGACGTGATTATATAAGAGAACCGGTTTGAACAGCTGCCTGAGAAAGATGGCAGGGTGACTGGTTGTGGTCCAACTACCTGAGTGAGTAATGTAGACTACCTGAGGGAGTAATGTAGTAGACTCATACTCATGTATTCTTAATCAAGACAAGAGTCTACATGAGTTGGAGCGCGAGGCTGGATGTGGAGCTTCCAGTCGATTGGGCGCCTCATGCATCGGTTCAAACAATGATACCTTGGGTCTGCAAAACGGTCCATGTTTCCCTGGCAATTGTTTGGTACTTGTAGAGTTTGGTATGCAATGAATCGGCAATGAATGAAGGTTCAGGAACATGTGCACAAGATTTGTTTGTTTCCTGTTGGATGTTCGTTCTCCATGCCCGGATCCAACGTGGCCAGCCACGCCGCAGCGTTCCACTGAGGACCCTGTGATCTTGAACAGCCCATGGATCCATGGCCGATCAAGTTGCCGAACTCGGTGCCGTTGCAGCCAAACAACCAGAGACGAACAATGAATATCTGAATATCCCTTGGAAGCCACCACGTACCGCGAGCTTTGCATTATTAAAATATTGAGCTAATGACACCACACCCACATCCTGGATACTATATATGGATGAAAGAATCAGACTGGATGCTGGTTCTTGGAGTTTTTCAAAAGGGAAGAAGTCCTGGGAACACAGGACAGAGGCGACGTTCGACTCTGGTGAGTGAGTCTTTCGAAGCACCCCAAAATCCCAGACACTCCATGGGACTGGTTTATTGACTATATATCGTACTGATTGGGGTGGTTTCAGGGTCAACGTAGCTGCCAGGGGTCTTGCTGTTGTTCGGTGTGCATGACAAGCGCTCAGGCTCCGACGGGGCACTGGACGAGCGCTGAGCGTCGTTTGGCTTAGCTACCTGCTGCTATGGTGCCTTTTCTTGCACACGTTCGTACTGTATTTGCAAGGGCGGGTGTGGGGGACAGGCTCCAAGCCTTGTAGCATTTGATAGTAAGTATTCACTTTAGTAAATATTCACTTCAAAATTGCAATCATGATTGCTTAACATGATTGAACAATTTGTTCAACCAAGATGTTTGTATACAGCTATGTGTTTCATTACTGTGCTATGTAATGCAATGTACACGATTTTTGGAGGTTGTGCGACCTGCTCTCATCCAGTTTTGTTGCGGCGCCTGCCATCCATGGAATATACATCTACATCTGCCCGCTTAAAACGCAACTATTCCACACTCCAGGAGTGTTTGGGTAGAACGACGTAGTGCTGGACACGTGTTGGGTGCCGGTCACGGATGCGACGGATCAGAACTCTGCATGCAGGTTCGAACAGTGCCAGTCAGACGAACGGATGTGAGCTTTCTGAACTCTCCGTTTGCTCACCATTTGTGTGTTGCTCACCGTGACAGGGAGAATTTGGGAAGTCTTTGGGGATACAGGCCGTGACTCAATTTAAGCTGTCTTTTTCCTGGGTCGAATTCTTGATGAGCTAAAGAAATCAAAGGGTCGTTCAGCAGAGAGGTCTTTGGATGGAGCAGATGTGAGTTGTTCCGGATGATCCGAAGAATGCGGTGTTGCAAGAGAGTTCAGGTATGGTGCCAACTATGGGAGAGACTTGGATGCGCAGGGAAGACCAGGTGTGTGGGGCTTCATGCTCATCCAGGGACGGCTCCCCTCAATGATCATTGGGATTTTGAGGAAAACAGGAATCATTTCTGAGAACCAGACAGTCATGCAGTCATGCACGGTTGTGCCAGGAAATAACGGCACGGCAAGAGACTATTGCAGTCGCTTGGGGCAAACTGGCCTCCAGGAAAAGAGAGCCCGAGAAAGTAACACCAGATGGGCAAGATCACGGACACAGATCGCTCAGAACGTTCTAGAATCTAGCATACTGAACTGGCGAGAGCCGGTTCTATTCCCATTCCGGTTCCAAAGAAATGCTGAATGGAGGATAGGGGTGCTTAGTCCACTCGCTTGGGGACTGAAAACCACTATAGCTTTGGAACTGCGCCAGCTTGCGCTATCTTAGCAGCGCGTCATCCTTTGGCTCACCCACATGACCCACATGAAAGACCTGTCCTGTGGTCACACCCAGCTCGCAACATCCAAGCAGCGCCCGAACCACCGGGAACCCCTTCACCTCCGTGGTCGTTCACTGGTCGTCCCACATCCGGACGGGTCGCCCTCACGGCGTCTCGGAACGTCTCGGACGCCACGGCCGTTGGAGGATACCAACAAATCATGGCTTGGGCCTATGAGGTGGAGTCCCCAGCCGCTCGGGTCTTTCGGGGCGCCCGAGCGGAAGTCTGTGGATCTCGCCTGTGGAGGGAAGTCTGTGGATCACCTGTCGCCCTTCTTTGGGGGAAATATATGGGGCACCCAACGGAAATTCAAGAGGGAAAATTTTCCAGGGACACTGAGGGGGTGAGCGTCACTCAGTGTATGCACTCGGTGAACGAAATGCCTACCTTGACCTGAAATCAACCCCATGAACTGATCGGTCCATGTTATTTGATATCTGTTGTTTTATGTTTATGTATTATTTTGGTGTGCTGTGTGTTGTCTTTCTGTTGTGCCCTTTGGCGCATTGACTCCCATTGACGCCTTTCTTGGACCTGTTGGATTTGGACGCCGCTGTAGTGCTAACAATGCTGCCCGGGCAGGGCGGTATGGCTGGAACTATGTGTGTTACTTTTCCTGATTGATAGAGGACAAGAAGAAAAGGGAGAACATGGAGAAGCAGAAAAAGTGTGTAGAAGAGCAAAAGTGAAGAAGAGCAAAAAGAGCAAATGAAGGAGAACAAAGCAAGGAAGGACAATAACTACAGCAAGAGCCAAATGAAGAATAAATACAAATTAAACATTGGTTGTGTTTGTTTTGTTAGAAGGATCGCGAGAAGAAGAAGGAGAACACGTCGAAGAAGAAGAAGAGGGAGAAGCCTTCAGAACACCCTCGGACGGCCAGAAAGTACGCTGCTCGCAGCGAGCCAAGCGGAGGGGCCTCGGCATGGCGGTTCGGCATGGCGATCATCCTGGCGATCCGTGTGTTCTGCTGTGCGTGCGTGTGTTGTGCGCCGGCCTCTCCTGTTGTTTGTTTGTTCCACTCACGGCCGGCAACGCCTCCTCCAAAGACATGGCGTTTCGGCAACGTGCTCGAGCACCAAAGAGCGTGTTGCCATGTGCAACGAAGGAACTCAGCCAGTCAGTTTGCAAAGAGTAACATGTGGTGTCGCCGTGGCTGCTTTGCTACTCACGATACGTTTTACATCAAGTAGCACCGCGGCAACGTCCAGATAAACAGTGCAGCACTACTGTGGAAATTGGGGGACATCCTGCTCATAAACATGCTGTATATGATTAATTGACAGACTCCCAAAGGGGTGCGTCCAATATAGTACGATGATTAACTATACTTAATTATGGAATCATACGTGATTCATGTCAATTCATGTGACAGTGCTTTTGACTTGGCAGTGAGCCTTGGTGCAATGTGGTTTCACAAAGAGTGCATCAATTTCAGGATATTTTCAGGTTCACCAAGAGTCGACTCACAAGTGATGACAAGGGGAAACTTGTGCCATCGCCCATGTTGCATCACATTGCACTGGACATCAGCCCCAAAAGAAAAACATTAACCAAAAAAACGCTAACAGAAACAAAAAACAAACAACCATTGAGATGGCTCGCCCAAATCTAAGGACTTTGGCCCTGGTAAGCTGTGAAGTGTTTTTTGCGTCCCACACCATCCATCACAAAGAGACCATCCGACACTTCTGGAAGATGACCACGCACCTTTTCGATCGGAGCTCGGTAATTACACGGGTGGTAGTGTGAAGAAAGCAGGGGCTCCGCGGGCTGCTGGCTTGTTGGCTGTGCGACCTCGCCTCGTTTAGGGAGCCCCTTGGCACCAAGGCTTGGTTTTGCTACGGAGCCCTTTGGCCGCAAAGTGGTGGGGGATAGGCTTGGCCATTTGTTTGGCACCATTCTATGTTGAGGAATTGATTTCCGTGGACAGCAGGTGGAGCAGGTCAGCCTTCTTGTGGCCTCCACGACAGCATGGGTCAGTCGTGTACTTGTAGTTAGAGGACTTGAATTCCAAGAGCGCCAAGGTGTTCTTTGGGATTGTTGGGCTCGAACATCGAGTCTTCGTCATGTCTTCGCCATGGCTGCGGCGGTTCCGTTGGACACCTCCCCCGATCGGAATCGCTTCAACGGGACGTGAACGGTGCTGAACGAACGGTCACGCAGTCGGGATGGAACACGTTGGAACCTCCTGGGACACAAACCATTTGCTAGACGAGACCTGTTTGGGACTGGAACATATTCCATAGTTGAAACACCCCTGGGCGCGTAAATCTTCCAGTCCCAAACAGGTCGCGTTTTTTGGACATGAGTCCTTCAAGCACCTGGAGCCCGGGCAATCCATCAATGCAAGTGAAAGACCTTCCAGGTGGGTCAAGGAAGGTGATTACCCAGAACCTCATCAGGCAATTATTTCCGGCCAACTGCATTTAGGATATTTAGGCAGAAAATTCTGCCCGCTTTCACAAAGAACGTCCCCATAGTGTTTGCCCAAGAAGAGGTTCTAGGTATGTGACTATCCTAGTTTTGACTACAGCCATTGCTTCCAGATCGTGGTTCATACATGTATTGTCACATGCGAGTAACATAGACGGCTCATTATAAACCCTTTACTCTATACTTATTACTGACTTGAAGACGTTTTAGAATCCCAAATGGGGTGTTTGAAATACCATCAACCGTCTACATGACGCATCCTCAGCCAACACGTGGCTAACAGAGGCGAGGCATGGGTGAACACCATGGCCGAACAAGCGGTCCCCCTTTCTTTCGGAACGCAAGGCCCTCATGGCGAAGGACGCTTTTCCGAACACGAAACGCCAACCAACGCCCTTTGCGATGGCCTCCAAGCGCAATGGCCTCCAATCAGTTCGAACGCTATGTGTTCTTTTCATGTCTTTTCCATTTCAGAAGCCTTCAGCTGTTGTGTTTGCCGAACGCTCAGGTCGTTATATGCACGATTATATGCAGTCTGGTGGTGAGTCTTTGCGCCTTGGCAGTCGACGTGTGACCGTTCGCCCGGGCGCTTGCGCCCGGCTGGACTCGGTCGCGATCGTCGCTGGATCGTCGCCTTGTGCGAAGCCCATGTGATAGGTGTCTCCGGTGTCTCCAGCGTCTCCAGGGATGGGATGTGGCCAAAGACCTGTAGTTGAAACGCGTGAACCACTAGGGCCTAGGGTGGCCATGAATATTCTGCACTCCATAATGGAAGTGGAAACCACCTGGGTGGTCCGGTCATCTTTCCGAAGCTATCCACTTCCTTGATTTTTTGGGGAGTGTGTGGTGAACATTCTCGTCACACAACTCCCACGTCCAACTGAAGAAATGGTGCGACGTTAGGAAGGTTAACCCCCGTTTCAAGACGCAGTATCACGACATTTTAAGATATATATATAATATATTATAGACATGCATATAGACCAGAGACCTTTGCTTTCAGATGGCGCATGTGTTGCCGTCGTTATTCCAAGCTTTGCGATAGACTATGTGAAAGGAAGGCAGTTGTTAATTAACGCGTTCTGAAGCTTTGGAGGCCCTAGTTCCTTAAGTATGGTACCTTTGGAGTCACTCCCAGTCAGTCCTGAAACGTGCAGCATTGAGCCAAACTTCAGGGATACAACCTGGAGGGAGGGTGCATGATCCTATATGAGCGTGAATCGTAAGAGCCCCTTGCAACACGTCCTGGTCTCGGTTTCAGTTCCAGGTGGTTTCTTCGTCCACGCAGAAACACTGGACACGTCACACGTCCTTTCATCGAAAAACAGCCTGTCAGGCCTGGTCATTTGGAGCAAGAAGACGCGGCTTTGGCAGAGCGCTGTATTCACCATGACCCTTTTGTTGGCCATGTTCATGCCTCCTGGCGGGGCTTGACCCATTGAGTCAAATGCGTCTTTTTTTGCTCCACATGAAAAAATGACACAATGGCAGAGAGGTCGAGAAATCTGAAAAGATGAGTTTGGGTTTGCTGTCCATGGTCTATTCAACAAAAGGGTAGGGGAGATGTAGGGGAGCAAATTCCGCAGGGGACTGAAGATCATTGAAGATCCTAGATTCCCATGCTAGATGGTCGGATGCTTCCATCAGAAAGAGTGCAGCATGACGCTGCATTGTGTGGCATATGATACATCTCAGCTGAAGATGTTGATTGTTCGTCATCGGTAGCTGCTGGTCGATTGACATCGCTTCACTCAGTGACCAATTGTCAGACAGAAGTTGCCATTGGACTTCAATCTTCGTGTTGGTTTCCCACTGTGTGCACTCTACGATGAGTGCAGAAGGTGCCTTGTGCTGTTTTGTTGTGTATGTGTTTATCCCTAGGGCTCCGAGTACCTCCTCAGAAGGTATTTGGACCCTTTAAACCCACCCCAAACACCTTCTTAGAAGGTACTTGGAGCCCTAGGGTATATGTTCCTTTTTTTTTGCGGCGACTCTTGACGATGGACCGTCTCTGGGGGGGAAGACCAGGTTGTGCCTCGGTCGTGATGCAGGAAACCAGCGATGCGGTGATGCCGGCGTTTGAAGGGAAAAACTACATTGCCCAAAAGTAGTGATGGCACTAAGATGCAGTCAAGTGACATCACTGCAACATGGGGTCATGGCATCACTGGGTGATGGCATCACAAATCAAATACAAGTGATGGCACCAAGTGACCCCTGTTCTTCTTTCAGGTCGGTGGTGCTGTCCGTGTGTTTCTTCACGTTGGTGCCCAGGCAAGAGGTTCTTCTATCCCTACTGCAGCCGGATCACGTGGTCCTTTCTGTGGCTGCGATCCTTTGTCACTGCAATGTGCATCCCATTTTTCTGGTGCTCATGATGCTGGGTTTAATCGCAGACCTGGGGCAAGAGCTGCTGTTTTTCTTGGATACCAGCGGTGGTGACCAAGCTGAAAGAAGGAGCGGCTGCAAATGCCGGGAGGGGTCCATTCTTGTCGGAATCCGTATGAATTTTCCCGATTCCTGCAGTAAACCCAAGTTAGAACAGTTGTGATAGGCCCTTTGGAGAGCGACTATAGCTTATAGGGGTTGGGTAACTCAGTTCGGCTTCTGA